GCCTATTTCATAACAGGAGTTTCAAATTCTCCTCTGGTATCAATGGTTCAAGCCAAGGTCAAAACCCAGGAAATTAATTGCTAATTTTTCAGATAGATTCGACCTTCATTTTTGAAGTAACGACTCAGTAGAGTCGTTCCACCAATCCTAGGGTACGTTAGAACGTCATTTCGGTGACCTCAAGTCCCTTCTTTATGTATGATGCGATTGTAGAACTTCCACTTCGTCTTCATTAGCGATATAGAAATACAAGAAAGTATCTTGGTGGTTGATTTTGTTTAGAGGCATATCAACACCTTTATGGGTTATTTCATGCCGAAATCTAAATATTTTGAACATAATTTTATGACTTCAGCTAAATATATTTTGGATGCAATTTTGTGCCTTCAAATACAGATAAAATGTATTATTGGTGAATTTGCTTTAAATATGTATTGCTGGTTGGTTGATTTTATTTAGCGGTATATCAACATCTCTATGGGTTATTTAATGTCGAAATCTAAATATTTAGAATAGAATTTTATGACTTCAACTAAATATATTCTGAAAGCAATTGCGTGCATTCAACTGCAGATAAAATGTATTGTTGATAAGTTTGCAATAAAAATGTATTTTTGGTCTTTTTGTTATAAAAAAGGTATTTTTGCCATTTTACCGGTGGAGTAATTGATAGCGGCTCGGATTGAGAAATCGGAGAGCCGAGTTCGAATTCTAGTTCGATCCATTACATTCACATACGTGCTAATGTCCTTCTTCTACCCCCAGCTATGGGTAAATAACAAGACAGACTGGGTTCTATAGACTTAGATAGCAACTGGTCTGCTGCAGAAAGAAATGGCAACCTACTGCAGAAAAAAATCTGCCTCGTCAGTCATGTATTGAACGATACATACTCGCCTAAGTTTGTAACACGTATGTCACAACTGACTGGCTATAAAAAGCTATTTTTGGTCATTTGGTTAAAAAATGTATTTTTAATCATTTTGTTATAAAAATGTATTTTTAGTCATTTTGCTATAAAAATGTATTTTTAGTCATTTTGTTATAAAAATGTATTTTTGGTCATTTTGTTATAAAAATGTATTTTTAGTCATTTTGTTATAAAAATGTATTTTTAATCATTTTGTTTTAAACATGTATTTTTAATCATTTTGTTATAAAAATGTTTTTTTGATCATTTTGTTATAAAAATGTATTTTTAATCATTTTGTTATAAAAATGTATTTTTAATCATTTTGTTTTAAACATGTATTTTTAATCATTTTATAAAAATGTTTTTTTGATCATTTTGTTATAAAAATGTATTTTTAGTCATTTTGTTATAAAAATGTATTTTTAATCATTTTGTTATAAAAATGTATTTTTAATCATTTTGTTATAAAAATGTATCTTTAGTCATTTTGTTATAAAAATGTATTTTTGGTCATTTTGTTATAAAAATGTATTCTTGTTCATTTTGTTATAAAAATGTTTTTTCTTTTTTTGTCATTTTACTATAGAAATGTATTTTTTTACTTTCATAGTGTTTTCTTTTTGTTTCGGGGATTACTATTTCCCCATAACATGGACCATAATAGGAGCTACCACTCTAAGTCAGGGTTGACCTGGGAACAACAGCAATTAAGAGATAGTTCCACGCTCCTGAAAAAGTCTAATCTCTTTAGCAAAGGCCTTCCTGCCGGATGTTGTTTATCGTGATGCTCATGACTCCTCGATATTAAAATTTCATTTATTCCAATCATTCGACATTCATTCTTTTTCCTCTTACTTCTGCAAATAACGACAACCCGTCATTTACAAATTAAATGTTTATTTGGCACTAATTTTAGTGAAGCTTGAAGCGGTATCGGCAACAAGCAAACGATGCCATCAAAAACTTAAACATCAATTATCAAGAAAAAATAATTAGAAACAAAGAAAAGAGTGCTGAACTGCTAAGTAATATCAATCCTCATGTATGGCTTTCTTGTCCACCACCGACACCCTTCTGTGACTCTTGCTCATGACTCTTTAGGGCCTTTAGAACCATCACCATCACCATCACCGCCACAAGAGGGAGAAAGGAAATATGGAGACAGGATGACGACCCTGATGGTCGGATACGAGCGGATGCTGACGATCATCTTTAAAGATACCCAGCATTCACTGCCATATGAAATATTAGATGTTGCATAGCGGTTCGGCAGTCTTTGTCTCTAAGGTTATTTGTCTAATTAGGATCAGAAATTCAACCAGCGAATGTGAAAAAAAACTAATTCTTTGAATATGTCTACGACTTTTGAAATCAGATTTGGATGACATAACATAAGAACAGTTACTATTTCTCCCTAATTGCTCTATGTTCTAAAGTCCTGGGTATGACGATAAACTACGTCCAGCAGCAAGACCTCCTGGAACCACCTTTTAATTTCTACTGTTCCCAGGTTCACCCTGACACGGAGTGGTAGCACCTGTTAGGGTTCCAGCTCTGGGCAAATAGTGAAAACCCAAACAAAACACTATAAAAGTATAACATACATTTAAATAGTAAAAAAATCAGCAATACATTTTTATATAAAAAAAGACTAACAATAGACATAGTAAAATGGCCAGCTATACATTTTATCTGTAGCTAAAGTCTTGCAATTGAGTTCAAAATATATTTAGTTGAAGCCATAAAATTGTTCAAATTGTTTAAATTTCGGCATTAAATAACGCATAGTGGTTGATATGACGCTAAACAAACCAAAACCAACCAAATCTATGTACTATGAGTGTTAAATTCGCCAGGTCCTCTATCCTCATTGTATGTCACAGAAATCTCAGCTACCTCTTTTTGATTATAAGTAAGATTTACCTTGTCCTTATTTTCTTTTTTAAAAAAAATTGCCCATTACTCACATGTTCTGCTTATAGAATTCTCAGTATCCTTCTGTAGGACCAAATCCCTGTCGCTTCAAGTCTCTTCATCACCTGTGAAGAGATTCTCCAGCATTCACTGCCATATCGATATTACGTAGCACCCTTTTCTCTTTTTTTAACGATATTTTCCAATGTTCTTTATACTTTACTTAGTTTCTTGAAAGCATCTTTCGCCATTCCTAAGTGCCTTCTTTAGGTGTGGAAATATTTAAATATTTTAACCTATTCGGGCAAGAAGACCTAATCATGAAGTATCCAGTGCTGCAAGGAGGCCTTCTTGTATAAGTTTATTAGGAGTAGATAGGTTCGCCTATCGTCCGGTTCACACTTCATCTCGGTCCTTTGAACAGGAGTAGAGGTTTATCCCTTGCTTCCTGTTTAGGATTGGATTTCCGGTTTCTTCTATAATCTACTTCCACAAAATTGTTCTAACGTCTTCGATTGAACTCTGAAATTAAATCTCAACTGCTTCAAGTCTAGCCGTTATCCTTCCTGTATAGCCCCATCAACTTCACTTCTTGCCATTATTTACGCTCATACAACGCTACACAGTAACATTCTACCTTGAGTGGCTCTTGGTCCTTGTATTGGGTGAACATTAGTTAAAAAGAAAAATACAGTGTAACCCGGATATAAGAGAGTTGTCGGGACCGGAGAAGTCTTTTATATCCGGGTTTCTCTTATATCCGGGTTTGGTCTATTTTGTTTAGGTAAGTATGGCTCTAATTTGGGACCAGAGAAAATCTCTCTTATATCCGGGTTTCTCTTATATCCGGGTTTCTCTTATATCCGGGTTACACTGAATTATGTGTTTTTTGTTTTTTTTAGCTTCTATTTTATTTAAAACTTCCTCGTTGGTTATATGTTCCAACTATGGCATTCTCAGCATCCTTTTGTAGAACGACATCTCTGTTGCCTCAAGTCATTTCACTATCTGTAAGTTAAAATGGCCAACATTCTCTGCCATAGAATAGGATTGGTATTATGTAGCAGTTCATCACTTTTTTTCTTTGTTTTTAATGGTATATTTCTGTTTCTTAATACTTTACCTTTTCAGGGACATAAACCTCATCAATAACACCCACAAAGTTTTTTCAGTTTATATAAAAAACGATTGATTTGCCTTCTATGTGCCGTGTCTCTTCAGCCCTCCACAACTTCCTATCTTTTGTAGCTATTAGCAATGTTTGCGGTTTTACTATTTCTTCTTCCCCGTGCTCTGCTATCCTTTCTACTCTTCATTATTCACTGTTACCCTCCGACTATGTGCCCCGTGAGAGCCGAATTCTCCAAGACCTCTTTCCTCTAAAAAATTGTCTTGAAGTACAACTGTCCTTTTACTTTTCAGTTTTCCTAAAAAAAAAAAAAAATCTCCTTTATTGCTTACATGTTCCGTCCTTGGTATCCTCAACATCCTTCTGTAGAAACACATCTCTGTCGCTTCAAGGCATGAGCGATCACGCCTCTCCACAACGGTGGACGGACATTTGCGTCCCGGACAATTTCGTCCCTAGACAAATGCGTCCCTGGATAATTGCGTACCACTGATAATTTTTTGAAGTTACCATTTTTTTTTTAAAGCGTTGTTTAATATAGAATTTTGCACACCAATACCTTTAATAATCCTAAACAAGCAGAAAGGTAGTTACAATAAATAAAAAAAAAAGAGAAAAATTCCTTTTTTAAAGAAAGAGAAAATTAAGGTAGCTGTTTTTGTTCACTACAGCGTTACGCACCACAAATATCTAAAAGATTCTGGATTGTATAGATTATATTTTTATTTAGAGGCCATAGTTAAATTCCGAAGACCAAACACTGGTGGAAAAATATTTGTGAACGAGAAAAATTACAGCTACTACTATCACAAGAAAAATGCCGATGAAACAAAAACAAATTGGTGATGTGTAAAGAGATCTTGAAACACTATTAATTTGTGATTGCATTTTAAACAAAAATAATCTTTTTTTATTCCTTTTTTTAAAAATTCATGATTACTACCTATGCTTTTCTTTAAAAAAATATGGTAAATACTTTTAAAAGCTTCAAAAAATTATCAGAGGTACGCAATTATTGAGGGACGCTTTTATGTAGGGACACAAATGTCCAGAGACTCAATTGTCTGTTATGCAGTTGTCCGGGACGCAAATGTCCAGTACAAAACTTTCGTAGAACCCTCCACAACTTCCTATCATTAGAGGTCTGAGGTACGTTTATCTTTTTACTATGCCAAAACGTCTATGTTCTGATATCAATTTACGCAACCTCGTTATGTAGGTCACTAAGGATATTCCTCTTTTTCTTTTTGCCTTCAATATCAACATGTCCTGTGAGTGTCAATTTCTCCAAGACATCTTTCCTCTTTCTGTATTACAGAAATTTCAACTATCTCTAAAAACAACTGCCTTTTTTCTCTCATTTTTTTTTTAATTTCCACATTGCTGACATGTTCCGCCCATGGTACTCTCAGTATCCTTCTGTAGAACCACATATCTGTCCTTTTGATGAGGTGGGCGATAATAGTTCTCCATAATGTATATATCTGTTTATTTAAAAGAAATGTGTTTCTTTTTTTTTTCTTAAAAAAAAAAATTCTGTTTTTATTCGCAGAATTATTAAGTCTAGAATCTCTGTAAAAGTCGGGAAATAATTTTACAATGTATCTATATTATAAGAATCACACCCGCGCCCACACTTTCGATTCTAAAAAAAATGTCGCGCCTTGAGCAGGTCTAATGGATCTTAATGTAGAAAAATTAATTCCAAAACCATTTTTTCCTATTTTTTTACGAATGGACCAGTCTACATAAGTAGTTCCTTAAAACGTTTAGGAAAATACTTAGGGTTGTGGTGGGGGTGATTACAAATACGTTATTCATGATGATTCTTAAGATTCCCACGCTTAATACGAAGTCGACGTTGAACGGAGCCATAATTTGCTTGTTCAGTTCTGTTAGATTTAAAGAGAAAAAAAATATGTCAGAAAAGAAACACTCCTGTTTCACTTAGAAAATTAATCCATCAATGAAAATGCTTCTCTCATTATCAAGAAAGGTTTTTAAATTCATTTTTAATTTACTTAATGGAAATTAATGAGTAAATTTTAATAAATATGTTTTAAATGAATCTTTCAACTGTTTTTGTTTATCGTTTCGAGTTGTTGATATTTCGGATCAGTAATATTCTTCTGAGAGTTTCTTCTCTCTTTTACATTCCTTTCGTCTTCTTCACTCTCTCTCTCTCTCTATTAATCTTTCTCTCTCTCCCTTCTTCTCTCTGTCTCTATCTCTCTCTCTGTATTTCATATATATATATATATATATATATATATATATATATATATATATATATATATATCCTCATGTATATTTTTAGCTCTCTCTTTTTATTTTTCCCATGCCGTTTTCATCGTCTTTCTATTCTTTCTATTTTCTCTTTCCTTCTTTCCTTCTTTCTTTCTTTTTCATTTTCTCTATCTTATTCTTCTAGTCTTTTTTTCCATTTTTCTCGTTTTGCATTTTAGCCTTTCTTTCTTTCTTTCTTTCTTTCTTTCTTTCTTTCTTTCTTTCTTTCTTTCTTTCTTTTGTATTTCTTTTTCTTCTGTCTTTTCTATGCTTCTCATCCAACCCCTTCCTTGTTTTCATTTTTTTGCTCTTCTTTTTTCTAACTTTTACTATCTATCTATCTATCTATCTATCTATCTATCTATCTATCTATCTATCTATCTATCTCAGTATGTTCATTATCTATCTATCTATCTATCTATCTCAGTCTGTTTATTATCTATCTATCTATCTATCTATCTATCTATCTATCTATCTATCTATCTATCTATCTATGTCTTTCTTCATCTCTTTCTTGCTTATTACTTCTTCTCATATTTTCTCCCTCTTAATTTTTTACTCTTATAATATCTCTCCCACTTTCTCTTCCATTTTATTCCTCTCTCTTTCTCCTATTTTCTTTTAATTGATCCCGTTTCTTCCGGTCCATTCTCTGACCTTCTTTGGGATGAGTTGCCTGCGTGCAAAATGTTGGGGTTGCTTGAGTTCTTCACATATTTCTATTCTTTCGAGAAACCTAACTGCAAATGCGCATATGATATGTCTTTATGTCGCAGTCACACACACACGTATTCGTACATAATACGCTCCTTTTCCCTGGATTTTTAAGCTTTTAAGTTAGACGTGCGTATTATACACAGGAACGATTTTCTGGTTGCGTGCATCGCCATATACGGGGCGTTATGCCCGAAAGTAATTTATATTTATTGGACAAAATAATTAATATGCAACAAAGAATTTAAATCATAAAAAATATTCAAATAGACTTCAAGTCCCGGGTCTAATTTTATCTATCCTACATATCCTCAATAATCTCTCCTACTACCTTCTCTTACATCCACCCAATAATCTTAAAGTTCTAGCCCTCTACCTTAAGGTACTGTCGGGCCTTGTATTGCGTAAACATTTACTAAACAAACACAAAAACAAAACAGATATTAAGCAACTTTTAATGAGTTATACAAACGTTTTTCCATCACTAGTAAAGGTAATTGGAATATTAGACGTCGCCTGATAATGGACATTCTTTGAGCGAGCAACCAATACTGCTTTTAATTGAAACAAAATCTTTTGCTTCAAACACTATTTCAGGAGAATAGGTTTCTCAAGTCCAGTAGCTGTTATCGCTCTTTCCACTATTGATGGTGGGTTTCCATCCGGATCTTTTTACTGTGAAAGAGTGTGAAATGTTAACATCTTGATTATGTCATGCTTTTAGGAAAACACGTTTCTCAAGTCCAGTAACTGTTATCGCTCTTTCCACTATTGATGGTGGGTTTCCATCCGGATCTTTTTACTGTGAAAGAGTGTGAAATGTTAACATCTTGATTATGTCATGCATTTAGGAAAACACGTTTCTCAAGTCCAGTAGCTGTTATTGCACTTTCCATTATTGATGGTGGGTTTCCATCCGGACCTTTTTATTGTGAAAGAGTGTGAAATGTTAACATCTTGATTATGTCATGCCTTTAGGAAAACACGTTTCTCAAGTCCAGTAGCCGTTATTGCTCTTTCCATTATTGATGGTGGGTTTCCTTCCGGATCTTTTTACTGTGAAAGAGTGTGAAATATTAACATCTTGATTATGTCATGCTTTTAGGAAAACACGTTTCTCAAGTCCAGTAACTGTTATCGCTCATTCCACTATTGATGGTGGGTTTCCATCCGGATCTTTTTACTGTGAAAGAGTGTGAAATGTTAACATCTTGATTATGTCATGCCTTTAGGAAAACACGTTTCTCAAGTCCAGTAGCCGTTATTGCTCTTTCCATTATTGATGGTGGGTTTCCATCCGGACCTTTTTATTGTGAAAGAGTGTGAAATGTTAACATCTTGATTATGTCATGCTTTTGGGAAAACACGTTTCTCAAGTCCAGTAGCTGTTATCGCTCTTTCCATTATTGATGGTGGGTTTCCATCCGGACCTTTTTACTGTTGAAGAGTGTGAAATGTTAACATCTTGATTATGCCAGGCTTTTAGGAAAACACGTATCTCAAGGCCAGTAGCTGTTATCGCTCTTTCCAGTATTGATGATGGGTTTCCTTCCGGACCTTTTTATTGTGAAAGAGTGTGAAATGTTAACATCTTGATTATGCCAGGCTTTTATGAAAACACGTTTCTCAAGTCCAGTAGCTGTTATCGCTCTTTCCAGTATTGATGGTGGGTTTCCTTCCGGACCTTTTTATTGTGAAAGAGTGTGAAATGTTAACATCTTGATTATGTCATGCTTTTAGGAAAACACGTTTCTCAAGTCCAGTAGCTGTTATCGCTCTTTCCAGTATTGATGGTGGGTTTCCTTCCGGACATTTTTTTCTTGTGAAATAGTGTGAAATGTTAACATCTTGATTATGTCATGCTTTTTAGGAAAACACGTTTCTCAAGTCCAATAGCTGTTATCGCTTTTTCCAGTATTGATGGTGGGTTTCCTTCCGGACCTTTTTATTGTGAAAGAGTGTGAAATGTTAACATCTTGATTATGTCATGCTTTTAGGAAAACACGTTTCTCAAGTCCAGTAGCTGTTATCGCTCTTTTCCAGTATTGATGGTGGGTTTCCTTCCGGACCTTTTTATTGTGAAAGAGTGTGAAATGTTAACATCTTGATTATGCCAGGCTTTTAGGAAAACACGTTTCTCAAGTCCAGTAGCTGTTATCGCTCTTTCCACTATTGATGGTGGGTTTCCTTACGGACCTTTATATTGTGAAAGCGTGTGAAATGTTAACATCTTGATTATGTCATGCTTTTAGGAAAACACGTTTCTCAAGTCCAGTAGCTGTTATTGCTCTTTCCAGTATTGATGGTGGGTTTCCTTCCGGACATTTATATTGTGAAAGCGTGTGAAATGTTAACATCTTGATTATGTCATGCTTTTAGGAAAACCCGTTTCTCAAGTCCAGTAGCTGTTATCGCTCTTTCCACTATTGATGGTGGGTTTCCTTCCGGACCTTTTTATTGTGAAAGAGTGTGAAATGTTAACATCTTGATTATGCCAGGCTTTTATGAAAACACGTTTCTCAAGTCCAGTAGCTGTTATCGCTCTTTCCAGTATTGATGGTGTGTTTCCTTCCGGACCTTTATATTGTGAAAGCGTGTGAAATGTTAACATCTTGATTATGTCATGCTTTTTAGGAAAACACGTTTCTCAAGTCCAGTAGCTGTTATTGTCCAGTATTGATGGTGGGTTTCCATCCGGACCTTTTTATTGTGAAAGAGTGTGAAATGTTAACATCTTGATTATGTCATGCTTTTAGGAAAACCCGTTTCTCAAGTCCAGTAGCTGTTATCGCTCTTTCCACTATTGATGGTGGGTTTCCTTCCGGACCTTTTTATTGTGAAAGAGTGTGAAATGTTAACATCTTGATTATGCCAGGCTTTTATGAAAACACGTTTCTCAAGTCCAGTAGCTGTTATTGCTCTTTCCAGTATTGATGGTGGGTTTCCATCCGGACATTTATATTGTGAAAGCGTGTGAAATGTTAACATCTTGATTATGTCATGCTTTTAGGAAAACCCGTTTCTCAAGTCCAGTAGCTGTTATCGCTCTTTCCACTATTGATGGTGGGTTTCCTTACGGACCTTTTTATTGTGAAAGAGTGTGAAATGTTAACATCTTGATTATGCCAGGCTTTTTATGAAAACACGTTTCTCAAGTCCAGTAGCTGTTATCGCTCTTTCCACTATTGATGGTGGGTTTCCTTCCGGACCTTTTTTATTGTGAAAGAGTGTGAAATGTTAACATCTTGATTATGCCAGGCTTTTAGGAAAACACGTTTCTCAAGTCCAGTAGCTGTTATCGCTCTTTCCACTATTGATGGTGGGTTTCCTTCCGGACCTTTTTATTGTGAAAGAGTGTGAAATGTTAACATCTTGATTATGCCGGGCTTTTATGAAAACACGTTTCTCAAGTCCAGTAGCTGTTATCGCTCTTTTCCAGTATTGATGGTGTTTTCCTTCCGGACCTTTATATTGTGAAAGCGTGTGAAATGTTAACATCTTGATTATGTCATGCTTTTAGGAAAACACGTTTCTCAAGTCCAGTAGCTGTTATTGTTCTTTCCAGTATTGATGGTGGGTTTCCATCCGACCTTTTTATTGTGAAAGAGTGTGAAATGTTAACATCTTGATTATGTCATGCTTTTTAGGAAAACCTGTTTCTCAAGTCCAGTAGCTGTTATCGCTCTTTCCACTATTGATGGTGGGTTTCCTTCCGGACCTTTTTATTGTGAAAGAGTGTGAAATGTTAACATCTTGATTATGCCAGGCTTTTTATGAAAACACGTTTCTCAAGTCCAGTAGCTGTTATCGCTCTTTCCAGTATTGATGGTGTGTTTCCTTCCGGACCTTTATATTGTGAAAGCGTGTGAAATGTTAACATCTTGATTATGTCATGCTTTTAGGAAAACACGTTTCTCAAGTCCAGTAGCTGTTATTGCTCTTTCCAGTATTGATGGTGGGTTTCCATCCGGACATTTATATTGTGAAAGCGTGTGAAATGTTAACATCTTGATTATGTCATGCTTTTAGGAAAACCCGTTTCTCAAGTCCAGTAGCTGTTATCGCTCTTTCCACTATTGATGGTGGGTTTCCTTCCGGACCTTTTTATTGTGAAAGAGTGTGAAATGTTAACATCTTGATTATGCCAGGCTTTTATGAAAACACGTTTCTCAAGTCCAGTAGCTGTTATCGCTCTTTCCACTATTGATGGTGGGTTTCCTTCCGGACCTTTTTATTGTGAAAGAGTGTGAAATGTTAACATCTTGATTATGCCAGGCTTTTAGGAAAACACGTTTCTCAAGTCCAGTAGCTGTTATCGCTCTTTCCAGTATTGATGGTGTGTTTCCTTCCGGACCTTTATATTGTGAAAGCGTGTGAAATGTTAACATCTTGATTATGTCATGCTTTTAGGAAAACACGTTTCTCAAGTCCAGTAGCTGTTATTGCTCTTTCCAGTATTGATGGTGGGTTTCCTTCCGGACATTTATATTGTGAAAGCGTGTGAAATGTTAACATCTTGATTATGTCATGCTTTTAGGAAAACACGTTTCTCAAGTCCAGTAGCTGTTATCGCTCTTTCCAATATTGATGGTGGGTTTCCTTCCGGACCTTTTATTTGAAGTAGTGTGGAATGGCAACATCTTGATTGTGTCATTATTTTCCGTTTCTGTTACATGTGCTATCCATTTTAGCTGTTGCTGCTGTTGAAAGTTCTTAAATGTTGTGATTTTTGTTACTTGGCAAATTTCTTTGTTTGTGATTCTTTAGCTCCAGACCACGAGATTTGAAGCAAGATGGTCCGCTTCTCTATGGTCCTGCGTACTCTTAAACTTAATAAAGAAAATATCCCCTCCGGCAGGATTCGTAGATGCGTACCAATTTTCAGGGGGAACTAACGTATTATCCGGAGTG